GGTGAGAGTAGATGCCTCTCGCAGTACAAGAAAATAGGGCTGGGCAACAAACTCAAGCTCCTCCGACATTTCTCTTTGAAAATTCATATTTAAGACTTCTAATTCGTGACAATCCTCTGCGCTTCTGCGTTCGTCAATACGTCACGCGTCGGGTCAGTGTTCACTCTTTGGCCGGAACTCAACTCGCGTACGGCTGTTACCGGAAGCCGGTGATTCTAGTTTATAAAGTTATAAATATAGGCAAGGCAAGGCAAGTTTATTTATATAGCACATTTCATACACAATGGTAATTCAAAGTGCTTTACATAGAAGAAATTAAAATAATCAAAACAAATAAGAATAATTAAAACAGTTTAGAATAAAAAATAAAATAAAGTACAGTAAAGTACAGTAATATGGATATTTTTCTTCCAAAAACGCATTGCTTCGATTCAAAAGGGATTTTTTATTAACCCCCTGGAGTCGAATGGATTACGTTTATGATGGATGGATGCGCTTTTTTGGCTTCAAAATCTGTTACTATTCACTCCCATTATGAAGCTAGGATATTTTTTTTTTATATAATTCCTATTGTGTTCGGCTGAAGGAAGAAAGTCATATACACCTATGGCTTGAGGGTGAGTAAATTATGGGATAATTTTCATTTTTGAGTGAACTAACCCTTTAAGGTAGCAACATGCACCCTTTATTAGGTCACAAATGTGTACCTTTAAGGGTTCTGCCTCAGAGAGAAGCTAAAAGTAAAACAATTTTCCCTGATAGTGTGCATTCAGAAAACGTGCATACTGTACCCAATATGCATACTATACACCGCAGCAAAAGTAAAGTCTTAAGTAATACACAAATAAAAAACAGCAGGCTGAGGCTGTATACACTGTATACTGTGCAGTATCCAGAGAGCTAGCATTCCATTCCAGCACTACTCTGAATGAAAAGCGTCTACGATTTTCTTTCGATTCATTTGTGTCTGATTAATAGCTTCATAACCATTTGAAAACTGAACAAAACATCATCAACTAGCTTAATATCACTCCGGAGAAGGTCTGCAAGATACAGAGAAGATTAGTTTTCTCACCTCCACTTTGTTCATTACAGTTGCCATGCATCACCTGGGCCGCAGCCTTGCCGTCAGTAATGCATTGTGCTCTGGCTAACAGGATTTCAGTCAGACCTCACAGCAGCAATCATCGGTAGGATCTTACACAGTTAATCCATTTGCCAAGAGCGTTTGTATAACCTTGGGTCATTAGAGTTTCCCATCAACTCGCTTCTTTTCCCACATCCATCTTCATGACCGAGAGTCACACACGCCATGCCAGGATGTGACAGCAAGCGGGAATTAGCTTTCATTTCACTGTGCTGTACTTGTGGAAAATTGAGTAAATAAATTAGACAATTTAAAAAACAAATAACTGAGAAGAGGGCACACGGATCTCCTCTGTATGACTGCCCGGGGAAGTTGAGTGGAAGTAAAATGGATGGAGGGAACACGATGAGTGACAAGAAGGAAGCTGAAGATTCGGGTCTGACTCTCAAGCCAAAGGCCCAAACCAATGGACAGATACGTCCCAATGGGGCGGCAAGAGGGGAAGGGAGGGGTTGGCCTAAACATTCCACAGAGAGTTGCAGATAACGGATGGTCAAATGCATTTAGAGACGACTGCTGGCAGATTAACTTAACTTCCATCCAAAGGGATGGAAGGACGAGGGATGAAAGAGAAAGGGCGAGGAATAGAGGCTAGCGCCCTGTAATGGCTCTGCTAATCTCTTTGTCCTACTGAGTGATCCAGAGCCAAATCTCTGTCCTCTCATCATCTACGAACACGGGGGCCTCATTTTAGACATTCCTCACTCATTGGCCACATCCGTTTCTCTAACATCAGCTTTGAGAAGCCATTCTCTTTCTCCACTGGTGCCCTTGGTCACCCCTTTTGTTCTTTTGTTCCAGATTCCCAGGTCTAAACAACAAGAAAAAACAAAAATGGCAAATCTCAAAAAACCTCAAAAGAACACCCCTCTCTCTCTCTCTCTCTCTCTCTTTCTGAAAGAAATTAAGAATAAAATAGTATTTACTCAGTGAAGCACAACTTTTCGTCTGGCACCAAGTTTTCAAGCTTTGTTTGCATAATTAATAAAAATACATGATCTATGTGATTCCATTAACCCCCCACCAGTCTCGCTAGATGAAAAATATTTTTTCGACGATAATTTTGAACATCTGGAAAAAATTAGTCACGTATCCAAGTTACACCCTTCTGAAAGATTTCTGGCATGGTGTGACTTTACAGCAGGGCTTGAAAAAGCACACAGTTGCCCGCACTCTCACACTTTCACTCATATAATTCAGCTTACGGTCAGCGCTCCCTTTCTGGAATGCAACCCTGACAACACAGTCAGAGCATATATCAATCCTGTTTTCCTATAAAACTAGGTAAACACAGTAAGAAGAAAACAGCAGTCAAAAAAAAAGGAACCTAAACCCTTCCAACTGTACAATACAAAAACAGGAGTTTGCGATTAGTTGAAAACCTGTTGAAAAACAGCACTGTGTTAAAGTCGTCATGAAATTTTACCATTCGTATTTTTATATGTAATATTGTAGTGTTTATTATAAATGATTTATCTGTGCACTTCATTATTTTTTTTAAATGCATGTACCCTTATAATCTTTAATCAAATACGTTACCCTTCCCTCCCCCCTCGAAACGACTTCTCTTCTCTTCCGGTCAAAAACTATTACTAGAGGGCGTGGCTATTGGGGTCTGTCTCGTTTCTGGCCCGCCTCTCAGAAACCTGTCAGTGTCACTGACAGCCAGCAAATATGGTGTTTAGGTGCATTTTTGGTTGCGCTCCTCACGTCCTCTTTCCTATCCCTAAACAACCTTGTCTGCGTGCCCACTGGCTCGAATTCCTGCATTTCGAAGAAGTAGGAATAACGGCGAGTTCGCGTCTGTGTGCAAGGCATTTCATCAGGCACCTCATCTTGGTTCGCGTGAGGCTCATATAAATATGGGGTGATTCCTTCCGGAAAATTTGGCTGCTCGTCCTCGCGCTCATCGTCGGGTTCCTCAATTAAAAATTCTTCATGGGAGGGTAACGATGGTGAGTCCGGTGGAGAGAAATCCTCCACAACTGACTGTAAACTGGCATTCAAATCTGCCTCCATTTTGTTAGCAATGCCCAACCTCCAACGATCCAATCAATTTCCGAAGGACGAAATCAAGCCCCACCCTACTTTTTTTTTTCTAATTTCAGAAGCCGTTTCACTCGGATACACGTCACAATAAGGAAAAAAGGACAATCTCAACTTCCGTTTCATGACGACTTTAAGCAAGATAATCAAAACCATCATTAGTTAGCAGGCTTATCAAATAATGGATGTTAGGCGAATCTGTTGTAAATCAAATCAAATCGAATAAAACATTTACTCATTTAAAATAGATTAATTTTAAACAAACAAATAAATATGTAGAATTTAGGTCAAAACAGATAATCAAAACAGGACTTTTTAAGACGTTTGCTAAGATAGCAGGATAATCAGTTAGTATGCTAGTGGTATGCAATGCTAGACTGTAAATCTGTTAGCCTGTTGGCTAAATTAAAAAATTGAACGACAAATGTATAATTTGACCATTTATAGTTTCTGGAATATAATATGATGTGACATAAGTTTTTCGCGATTGTCAAAATGTCACATTTTCTTGCAGTCCAGCATAATTCGCCATTTCACCGCAAAATAAGCGCAATAAAATTAAAAGGTCACAAAAATATATATATTATAATCATCTACCTGAACTATCCCTAATTTGTAATGCATTATTTTCACGAGGATACAGATGTTGTGCACGTGATGTCAGTGGTCTGAGTGAAACAAAATGAAAGCGAACCTTTCTCAACTGCTGTCTCGCATAAGTGCCAAAAACTGGGCAATGAAATTAAGATGGATGAATGACAAAATAAAAAAGTATTATAAGCTTGACAATACTAAAAGAGTTATTAAAAGTGAAGTATATCACAACTCTACTGACATACTGACCGATGTCAGACTGGCTGCAGATTTCTATGCGTGCGCTTGTCGCCTGTCAGCACGCAAGTACCGAATTGTGCGTTCTCTTTCTAGGCTTATCGGACTTGCACGGTTCATTCATCATCAAAAAAAATTTAATCTTGTTCAGTTATGTCTTAAGTGAACAAAGAGTTTGGGCGTGTGTCAATATTGGATCCGTGATTTAAAGTCTTAAAGTGAAAGCAACCTATTAAACTGGCTGCTGTCTGTGTCGTTAATGTTAATCAAGCACTGTTTGTATCTGCATCTTTTATGTTGCATTTATTTTGTCCTATTGTCATTTGTTTCTTTGTTCTTATTTTATTACTGGCGGTTTAGCTGATTACTTAAACTAATTACTTGATAACTTTTTACTTCTATTAGGCAAGTATTTGTTTTGCTGTGGTTTAATTATAAGATTTTGGTCATATTGCCCATCCTTAGTAATCATGTTATTAAAGCTAGATAGTACACCATTAGGCTAGCCTAGCTAGCTATCTAATAGCCTAACAATTTTGAAAATATATTTGTATTATTACTACATTTCTGGGCAAGGCTGTGCAGCACACTCAACATCCCCCTTTCCAAGTCTGAAAAAAAGTCCATAGGTAGTTTTAAAAGTTAAAATGTATCAACATAATAAACAACATAATACATAATATAGTAAAGGTGGTATCCTTATTATTTTTATCTCAAAAGTGAAATTAATTTGTAGGATTTATTTATTACAAATTTCAACCTACAGAATAACTTTGCTTTGATGACATCGGGTTATGGGAGGTGCAATGACCTTGTGGGAGTTGTTTGTTTTACTAGAGGATGCCAAAAAGAGGGAGTAATACACAGTAGCACTGCATGAAATGGGTGAAGCAACTTCAGGCTATTGCTATTGCAGGGTTTTGGAGGGCAAAAGCCCATATGGACGTACATCAACAAAAGCACGCACCGCAAATACTGTTTTCTGGCTGCGAGTCAGCAATGTGGTCTCTCCAGGGAAAGGCACTGGGAACCTTTGCCAAGAGATCAGTTCATGCAGGGTCTCCGGGCTGCGGCCATGGGCAGGGCAGGAAAGACATGTGTTTGACTTCCCCCTGTCACTGCTCTGGCTCCCGTTGTCCTGTTTGCTGCTTCTGCCACTGAAGGTCCAGCTGTTAACAGATCAAATATCAGGCCTAGGGACCAGCCTGCCTCTGAAGCACAACACTGAAATACAGTCACTCAGAGGGCTGGATAGCGGCGGTGGGCTGTCATGGACATTTTAACAGTCTGGGATGAGTGATTGCGCCGTTCTCACTTTCTGTCTATCACATCCTTATCTTGTCCTAATGCGCAGCCACTCAGAAGTGATTAAATCAGCGATAGACTTTATGATTGCTTGTGTGTGTGAGCAAGTGGTCACAAAGTCACACCAGTGAGCGAGCTGCCTCTATAGCACATGCTTCAGAAAAAGGAAGGGCATGTTGTCATGGAAGCCCTTGTTGATTTACAACATGGCTTATATTGTGCAGTGAGATAAAGGCTGTGTAATATATCCAGTGACTTAAGGCGCAGTGCATGAGAGACGTACACACAGAGCTCTGGGCTCAATGCAATCTATCCTGCTCCTCGACCTGTTTAAGGTGGTTATATTCTTCACAATTCTATATTTATGAAGCCTTATGCATCAAATACATAGATTTATAAAGAATAGCCATTGTGAACTGGTGTTGTAGTCATCCATCTCATTGCAAAAACATTACTTACGCACTTCAAGAGGCTCTCAGCACCTGAACTATACTTCACAAATGCTAAAAGCGACTGGCATTTCATGGCCCATTGACTAATGCATTGCAGCGCTGTTCCGTGTATGCATGCAGTGCATGGCAGAAGCGTTCGGGAACAACGTCTGGGAGCTTGATCCACCATCTGCACGGTACGGCGTCACGGAGACGGTCCTGTGAAATCGAGGAGAGGCCGGATGATCCATTAGAAACCCAGCCGGTCCTGTCTGTGCCGCCGAGATGGTGTGGCTATTCATACCTCATGTGAAAGGCCCATCTGTAAGCAATATTCTCTTAGGATCCATACGAGCCCTAAAAGCACAAGCTACATAAAGAAACTGGATCTGATCCTTGGGGCTTTGGAGGCAGCGGAGGAGAAAAGCTCATCAGCATCAGCTATTGTTGCTTGTATATTATGATACAAGACATTTTAGGTATCTTTCAGCATTCTAATGAGTTCGTTTATTAAACGCACTGATTATTTTGAATAAATTGAAAAATATAAATGCCTTAAAGTGCGTATGTCAGGTTAAATTTGTAATTAGGATTAACACAAAACAGTTAGGGGAAATGCACGTTTGACAAGTTGTTGTATTGTTTTGTATGATTTTCGATACCTAAAGGCAGAATATAAGATGAAAAAGTTCGTTATTTTCAGTACGTACTTAAAACTGCTCCTCCGCCCAAACGGATCGCTTGACGTCATAAGAGGGAGACGTCTCCCCAGAGCGCTGAGAAAGTGAGTCTGTGAGCTGTGTTGATAATTGTACGAGTGATAGAGCGAGAGAATTAGTGATTAGGACATTTATTTATTTAGTTAGCTATTTAAGTTAGGTAGTTAGTTAGGTATACGCAGGCGTATTTTCACAATGGTGAATTACTGCGGTAGTGCTGGGTGCTAAAACACAGTTAAAACCGGTCACAGAGTCCACTTTTTCCCAAAAAGCAGGTCTGTGTTCCGTGCCTGGGTCAACTTTGTTCGGACCAAACGCGCTGACTTCAGTGCTGCTTCGGTATCCAAGACTTCGGTCATTTGCAGTGCACATTTCTTCCAGTTTTTATGTTTCCACTGTTCGATCGCGCCCGCGTGTCTCTCTCTCTCTCTCTGTCTCTCTCTCTCTCTCTCTCCCTCTCTCTCGCGTCTCTCTCTCTCTCGCGCGTCTCTCTCTCTCTACTTTAGTGCTGCTTCACACACACACACACACCAACACCAACATATTCCAGCATTGCAATCTTGACATCGAAGCCTGTTCATTATAGCCACGGAGCTTCAGAGCTAAGGCGGAGCTACAGATCATGTGTCCCTAAATAACCCGCGTATCTAACAGTAGTTCCGCATTAATTAATTTGCACGCGAGTTTTATTTATTTTTATACTCGTGTATTCATGCACTGAACCGTGACGCCCGTACCGTTTCGGTATACATGTACCGTTCCACCTCTAAGTTATGCCTATATGCACCTGCCCAACTCTCCACTGGTTATCTTCACACCAGATATTTATGTTTCTTCGATAGGAATTATTTAAATTTCTGTTTGCCTCCTCATCTGTCTCACGCCTGGGAGGCTCAAAAGTGTATGGCTGTGGGGGGATTTTGAGGGGGATTTGAGGGGGATTTTGGATCTGCTCAGACTCAAAACTTCCCATACGTGAATAGAACGTTTGTGGCACGACTCCCTCTTCTGACGTCACAGCTCAGCTGTGTTTTAAAAATATGATCTTGACAGAAATGGCTATAAAGCTTACTGTAGGGTAATTACAGTAATAATTTTAATGATAATTACATTTTCACTCAGACATCTAACCCTTATTTAATATATCAAAAAAAAAAAATTAACCTGACATAGACACTTTAAATTCAAAGTATCTTGCTCTTTCTCTGAAATATACTCTTTGGAAAAACTGTAATATAGAAATATATTAAGAAAAAATATTCATTATACTAAAATTAACTCGTATAACTTTTTCCTGTGTGAACTGTGCATCTTTCAAAAGGTAAGAGCCTTCTAAAGTGGGTTATATAGTGTCCATCAAATAGAGACAAATGTGAGAAGACAGGCAAAAAGCAGAGGGACGAGTTATAAAGAGATACACAGAGAGAAAAAGAGAATAAAACAGAAAGAGAGTGATACTGGGGCATCATTAGTTCTAATGTATTCCAGCCCACTGCCATTCAATTTCAGCAGCCCACTACGAAGGTGTGTTTGATTAGCGGCAGATTGGATTTTGATTTCTGGAATATTGCCTCCTAATTGCCTGTTTGGATTTCTAATCATAGATTAATGGCACACAACAAAAGAGCATGTGGATAATAAACCAATAGCTGAAGCGTAGCTAATTCATTCCCCCTATACTCTACTATGGAGAAAGACTGCTCTTTCATTAAGCAAAAACAAAGGGCATTATTGTGCGTGACTTGCTTTTATAACAATCAACGAGTCTCTGACAAGTACTGCACAAACCGTGACCTGTAAAACATGCTCTTTAAGAAAGTATCATTGAATCTAGTTTCATCATAAATGATCGTTTTAGCCGCAGCTCACAGAAGTTACAGAACGATTACCAAACACTTCTGTAACAAGCCGGAAATTTGCCAAAGAGACACCCGAGGCAACAATCGTCTCTGTAAAATCAAAACCAAATCTATAATTGAAGCTGAGGTGAGATAGACCAGTTATGCTGGTATAGTCGTACGATCTCCTAATATCTAATGGAGCTTTGAGCACTGAGGCTTCTCCTATGATTATCATTAAGCATAAAAAACAATATTATTCAATATTAAATAGAATAATGTTTAATTAAAATGAATAATGAATGTAAATAATTAACTAAAAAAATCATTTGTACAGTTGTATTATTTAATTGTGTGACTAGACATGATGTCTGTATGAAAAACAATGCTAACAATTGCAGCAACACTGTGTTCTGAATAGAACATTACAGCATTGTGCAAATTATATTTTATTCAGAAAATGCAAAAATGTAAATACTTTAGCTAAAAATGTTGTGTGGGCAACTTAGGCTGATTTGAATTATTTTTAGGGTCAGAATAGGAGATATCACAGCTGCCCACAGCCAGCCGGATATCAAACCCTCATTAATACAGGAAGGAAAAGGCAGTACTGAGAGAGATGGCTTGTTTTGGTGAGTGTGTCTGCGTGCATCCATGTGTCATGTCCAGAGATATCCAGCATGCTCCATCTAATTACAGTTGGATTCCTGGAAGAGAGTGACCCAAACAGCTCATCCACACAGCTGCCAAAATCACTTAGTTTCACTTCAACACCTTTCCATTTATCAGCCAAGTAACATGAAAACATCCAACTTCTGATTCTCCCTTTTTAAAAAATGACCAAATCCTAGCTTTCGAAGCTGTAGCACTTAAGAATCAATCATTACTTAAATACCACCACATTAAACCAAAACAGTCTGAAATATGCTTTCTGCAAATTGCACATTCAATCGTTTAAAAGATAAATGATAGTAAAGACTTTTCCTTTCTATTCATCAAAGAATCCTACAAAAATATTGATCACAGTTTCCACAAAAATATTAAGAATAATAATCGTTTTCAACATTGATAATAATGTTTCTTGAGCAAAATCAGCATTAGAATGATTTCTGAAAGATCATGTGACTGCTTTGCAACAAATTGTAATAGTATTTCACAATAATTACACAGTATTTGCAGCATAAGCATACTTGGTGAGCATAAGAGAAAAACCACAAACTTTTTGAACAGTAGTGTAAATTCATAGTGCTATTGCTGGAGCTTTGGTGTAAACCCAGAAAGACTAAGAGCATCGTTTCAGTCCAGGAAGGAAATACTAAGAAAGTCTCAAGGCTTTCTGTCCTAACAGCCTGGAATTCAGCTCCACTCCTGCTGAAGAGGAAGTCAGTTAATCTCAGTGTAATGAGAGTGTAAATTATAAACAAAATGACTTGCATAGGATAGTCACAACAAACATTTGAACAGCTTTGATGAACTACCGCTAGAATTGTACATCTCTGTTCATTCTGAAATGTGATGACTAATTCAAGAAGGTGGTTAGAGAGTTTAGTCATTAGTAATTTATCTGTCTGACATGTCTTTTTTTAAATAGTGAATGAGGTAAGAGCAGGCTGGCAGATCTGCAACACATTTTGGCAGAATTAAAGGACTGCTACTGTACATCACCATTGCACACTATCCTAACTGAACTTCATAAAACTACTTAACGCAGTAAATCTATTTTGATGATCCTTCGGAAATCAATTTGGTGTAAAACATTTCTTAATATTATCAATGTTGAAAACTACTGTGCAGCAAATTATTTTTGTGGAAACTGTGATATATTTTTTAGGATTCCTTGATGAATAGAAAGTTTAAAAGAACAGCATTTATTTAA